CTGAGACACCCTGTATAAATTTAACCTGTAATCCCATAAATGATTTAATGAATCTGTATTCGTTATAACATATGAGACATTCACAATAGTTCCAAACAAGTTATATCGATGTTGTATTAAGTTAATATCATCGAAATATATCATTTTTTCGTTCCATTTACCCAAATAAGTTTCTGAAAATGTATCGGCTTTAATTGAAACTTTATAAATCGCTCTTATTTCAATCAAATTTTGGTTTTGAATTGTAATTAAATAAAATCGACTATCTATCAAAACATTTAATTGAATTGGAACATCTTTTTTATTTCCAAAGAAAAACCAACGGAATCGCGAAGAGAATAAATTCATTTCTTCGGCTTGTTGTAACATGTTCTCGTACCCTTTACAATTTGAATCTATTATAAACGATTCTTCATTTGTATTTTGAACATGTTTAATCGTTGAATTAATGTTTTGGAATGATATCGAGTGTTGATTTAATGTTTTAAGCAATTCTTTTTGAATATCTTAAAAAGATTAAAAATATATTAACATTTTTAATGTTTTTAATAATAAACTCACCGTAATTCCAGCAAGTAAAAAAGGTAACTTTAATCGGCGATTTCTGAAGATTCAAAACATCTTTAAGAAAATTAACGATTAAATAAGATTGTGTTGAAGCCATTAAACCCATAAAGACAAAATAAACATGTTTTGATATCATCATTTTCAAGGAGAAATTGACAATAATCTAGTTGCGAGCAAATATTTAAGGATCTGATAATAAGTAAGTATTAAGAGCGTTTCTAATATTAAAGATAACTTTGCCCCAAAATTTCTAATTATATACAATTACATTGAATTTGTGTCATTTGAGACATGAAATCTGTTTACAAGAAATAAACCAAATAAATAATCTATAATTTTTTAATTGTATCTATAAATTAATATTTCAAAAATTAAAATGATGATGGAAATAATAAAACCACCAGCTAAAATAGCTGCTGCTGGGTAACAATCTATAATGCTAACTTCAACAAAAGTACTCCCTCTTGAAGTACACACCGGTTTTTTAGTATACAATAAAGAAACTTCTCTATTTTGAATCCCACTTTCGTATATTTTACGAAATCTGCAATAAAAGGAAATTAATTAAAACGCAATAAAATGTAAACGAAATTAATGCAGACGCAATTTTTAGAATTTCTTTATAAGAAGAATTCTTCTGAATAGCCAACCAAGGATCGGGAACTTGTAAAAATTGGATTTCCTGTAGCCCACATTTTTCGCCCTCCAAAAAAGTCTCTCCAACTATTTTATATCCAGCACCGGTTTCCATGTGGAAAGCAAATAAACCTTGTCTCATTCTTCTTACTCCCTCTTCAATTGGAAAATATCTTTCTGGTTGTCCGGGTTGTGCAACTTTTTGTTTATAAATTTCTCTGCGAGTTGGTTCTGAAGCATTCTTAGAAAAAATGATTATTCAAAAAGAATTTAAACAACAATATATGTGTGCGATATGTGTGGGACCAGTTGGATAAAGCAATAAATGAAGAAGATTTTGAAGCTTATCATGATTATTTTGATGTGCGATCGGGAAATAGTGACAAATCAAATGAAGACTATGAAGAGACTTAACAGGATATTGTCCACGGCCTACTGACAGATTCATTTCATGATCAAGTACCAACATTGGATCCTGCAGATTTCGGTAATCACAACATTCTTATTGTTGAAGAAAATGTTGTAATAGAAATTGAAGCAAATCAAAATGACGAAGATCTCGAAACAGTAGCTTTAGAAGACGTCAATGATAATTTAGGCAGCTATGTCAGTGAAAATCTATCGATTCTAGTTCTAGGTCTTGTGTTAGTTCTAGGTCTAGTGTTAGTGCAATAAATATATGCAACATAGTAATATCTTATGCTACTACTATCCGTGCAAAAAGTCAAAGCCCCTCACTTTCGAGATCGATATCTTCGCAACCGCTCCATAAAAAAAATTGCAACAAAGTTTGTTGTAATCACTGAACATTTCTACGTAACTTATGTTAATTTGAAAATTTTCGGATCCACGGTTTTCTTTTTACCGCTAGTTAAATGAAAAATGTACCCGAAGAAGAAGAAAAACAAATTTTATTCTTATTGGTGTAATTATTATTTGTTTCCATCATTCGTATCAAAATAAAATAAAGAGTTGCACTTTTTTTTAATGGATAATTGTTATATTTATGTTCTACCGGTTTCGACTCAACATAGAGTCATCTTCAGGAACGCGTCATGATTTGAAAAAAGGCCTGGTATCAATATTAAACATTTGTTCGTGGTTAAAAACTTAAGAAAATTAAAAATAAAAGTGTAATTATGGGCGGATGCGATGAATCATCGCTCGGATAGGATTCATCGCATCCGCCCATAATTACACTTTTATTTTTAATTTTCTTAAGTTTTTAACCACGAACAAATGTTTAATATTGATACCAGGCCTTTTTTCAAATCATGACGCGTTCCTGAAGATGACTCTATGTTGAGTCGAAACCGGTAGAACATAAATATAACAATTATCCATTAAAAAAAAGTGCAACTCTTTATTTTATTTTGATATTTTTACTTGTTTCACTTTTATATGTACTGCTTTGGTATTTACCGTGGGCCTGGGTAAATACCCGGATAAATACCCATTCTATAAATACCTACCCGCCGGGTATTTACCCACCGCCCATCACTGATTGTATCAGAGTATCTTATACAGGGTGGTCAAAAATTGAATTACCGTTTCTCCATATTCAATGGGGAGAAAGTCGAAAATTTTAAATGGAATGAC